TCTTCTTCTTAGGGTGCCTGTCCATTCCAAACGTTGGCGATCATTCTGGCTATGATGATTTTGTTGGTTGCCTGTGTTGAGGTCTTTCTATACCATGCTCTCAGGTTGGCAAGCCAGGATATTCTTGTTCGGCCTGGGGTTCTTTTTCTTTCAATTTTACCGTGCAAAATGCATTGGAGTAGCTCGTATCTGCCTTGATTTCTCATAATATGTCCCAAGTAATCCAGCTTACGGCTCTTCACAATGGTAACCAAATCCGCGGTTGTGTTCATCCTCCGCAGTACTTCTTCATTGGTGACTTTGTCTATCCATGGTATTGTTACGATTTTAAATGTTATGGCATATAGAACTGTAAATATTTTATGGCTAATTCTTTTTTATTGATTCTCGTAATTTGTAGGTCAAAATCTACCTGAGCTTCGATACCAGTTGTTTACAGAATAATCTAGACCCTAATTTTATGAGTAATCCACGTCTCGAGGTTGAAAAACGAGTCGAGCGCCTTCACCAAAATACGAGATTATTCAAGAAGTTTGCCGAATAATCTGGATGACAACAGTTGTGTATATAAACCAAAGATTTTTTATTTGGAGTTAGTCATAAGAAGCTCGGGAACCGCGATATTTAAATGTAACGAAACGTTAATAAATTATTTGTAATTAGGATTAATAAAGACTTTAATAAATTCGTAATTAGTTATCGTGAGTTTTAATAAATTAGAATATAGACAATAAATTAGAATAAAGAACTATAAATTAGAACTATATAAACTTAACAGTGGTGTCAGAAGTGGGATATGTACGAAGTTCATGTAAGCATCCTAGATACGACACAAATCAAGAAACTCACCATCAGGAAAACTAGAACGGGTCGGCCTTAGGGGGGCAGCTTCGACCCAGAACTTTACCAAAGACCCTCTGATACTAATAGCTTCTTTGAAATGTCGTGAAGATAGTGTATATGTAGATGGAGAAATAAATGGTAAAAAGCATACGTTGTTGGTGGATACGGGAGCGACCAGAAGCATTATTCGCCCGACAGTTATAAACAGCCGTAAGAAACTGTTACCAACGAGGTTGCGACTGCGGACCGCTACAGGTGAAAATGCTAAAATTCATGGAGAAATCCAGGTACAATTAGGAATTGGAGCAGAAAAGTTCGTCCATACTGTTATAGTTGCTGACATCGAAGAGGATGTTATATTAGGAATGGACGTAATGAATACGCATGGATTCCAATTGGATTTTAAAAATAAAGTAATCAAAGTTGGTAACGAGGAGGTATTTCTCCATCCACATGATGACAACACTATGCAAGCAGCCGTTAAAAAAGATAGAAGATAGTCGTGCCTGCGAGAAGTGAAACAATCATAGTAGCGCGGCTACAGGGAATTGTGGACGAAGGGACACCTGTTATGATGGAGCCTTGGAACCATGACGACGAAGTTGGCCGTGGAATCATAATTGGAAAGGAATTGGTGACCTCGGCTAAAGAAATTCCTGTTAGACTTATCAATGTCAATGACTACCCAGTGACCATCAAGAAAGAGACAAAAGTAGGAACTTGTGTACCTGTGACATCCATAATCCGTCAGACGACAACGTCTGATAATTCCAACGACAAATTTGATCAAATGGTTGCAGTTGCTGGACAGTCTCTGAATCAGATTGAGAAAAGGAAATTAAGGGAATTTCTTCGGCAGTATCGTGATATTTTCGTACCGAAAGGAGGAAAGACGGGAAGAACTACCGTTGTTAAGCATAGAATTGATACTGGTAATGCTAAGCCAATTCGTCAAACAGCTCGACGATTACCACAGGCGAAAAGAGAGGAAGCTGAAACGATTGTTCAGGAAATGAAGAAAGACGGGGTGATAGAACCTTCTACGAGCCCATGGGTCTCTCCGGTAGTCCTGGTTAAGAAGAAAGACAGAACAACGAGGTTCTGTGTGGATTACCGTTTGCTGAACAACGTTACCAAGAAAGATAGTTATCCTCTGCCTCGGATTGATGACACATTAGACACATTAGCTGGAAGTAAATTATTTTCTACTTTGGATTTGAAGTCTGGATACTGGCAGGTAGAAATGGACCCGGTAGATAAAGAAAAGACAGCCTTCACCACAGGATCTGGATTATGGCAATTCAACGTTATGCCATTTGGACTTTGTAACGCTCCTGCGACATTTGAGAGGCTTATGGAAAATGTGTTAAGAGGGTTATCTTGGAAAACATGCCTAGTTTATCTAGACGACATAATCGTCTTGGGGGAGACATTTGAAGACCATCTGAAGAATTTAGAAAACGTTTTTAATCGACTTAAAGCTGCCCAATTGATGTTAAACCCCAAGAAGTGCCAGCTATTTCAAGGTAAAGTCAATTATCTGGGTCATATATTCAGTAAAGAAGGAGTGGCCGTGGATAAGGGAAAAATCGATTCCATTAAGGAATGGCCAAAACCAACTGACAAACATCAAGTGAGAAGTTTTCTTGGACTATGTACTTATTACCGGAGGTTTATTAAGAAGTTTGCAGATATCGCTAAACCATTAACGCGACTTACAGAGGAAGCAAGAGAATACCGCTGGGATGTAGACTGCCAAAATGCCTTTGAGACCTTAAAAAAGCATTTAATCACAGCACCAATTTTAGGGTATCCACTGCCAGAAGGAGAGTTCATCTTAGATACAGATGCAAGTAATGTGGGAATTGGAGGAGTGCTGTCTCAGATTCAGGGAGGACAGGAAAGAGTCCTTGGATATTTCAGTAAAGTTCTCTCAAAACCTGAGCGGAATTATTGCGTCACGAGAAGAGAACTTCTGGCAGTAGTGAAATCAGTAGAGCACTTCTATCAATACCTCTATGGAAGGAAGTTTTTAATCCGAACCGACCATGCCGCCCTTAAGTGGTTGATGCAGTTTAAGAATCCAGAGGGTCAGATAGCCAGGTGGATCGAACGACTCCAAGAATATTATTTTAAGATTGAGCACCGGGCGGGAGTTAGCCACCGAAACGCTGATTCTCTTTCCAGAAGACCATGCCCATCAGAGTGTTCCCACTGCAACAAAACGGAATCCAAGGAAGCAGCAGTGCTAAGAACGACGGTGGTCAATGATGACTGGACGCCTACCAAGATCAGGGAAGAACAAGAGAGAGATCCAGTTATCCAGAAAATCCGAAAATGGAAAGAGGAAAACCGTCGACCACCTTGGCAAGAAATATCGAACCTAGGCTCAGTAGTAAAGACGTATTGGGCCCAGTGGGACTCATTTATCATGGAAGATGGCTTGCTCAAACGAGTCCTGGAAAGTGATGACGGTTCAGAAAAAAAAGACAGTTGGTGATTCCAAAGAGCAGAATAGCCGAAGTACTTCGTCAGTTACACGACAGTCCATCAGGAGGGCATTTTGGTGTGAAAAACTAATTTGTGCTACGTGTGTTTTTGTGTTTGGCACGTACTATTTGTGCTACGAGTAACGGGCCTTATCGAAAAAGGAGAGCTCCTATGAGACAATATAATGTTGGAAGCCCGTTTGAAAGAATAGCTTTGGACATTGCTGGGCCATTTCCAGAAAGTGATAATGGAGGCAAGTACATGTTGGTAGTAATGGATTACTTCACTAAGTGGGTCGAGATTTACGCACTTCCAGACCAGAAGGCGGCCACCGTTGCAGATAAGTTGATCCAAGAATATATCAGCCGATTTGGAGTGCCTTTGGAGATCCATAGTGACCAAGGCAGGAACTTCGAAAGCGATTTATTCCAAGGAATATGTGATAGACTAGGTATGAAGAAAACAAGAACTACGGCTTATCATCCGCAATCGGATGGTATGGTAGGACGAATGAATAGAACACTTGGCAAGTATTTGACAAAGATGTTGGCAAGTATTTGACAAAGATGGTGTCCGATCATCAGCGAGACTGGGACCAATATCTCCCGTTCTTCACAATGGCCTACAGATCTGCTGTTAATGAATCAACAGGCCAGACACCAGCCAGAGTCCTATTCGGACGCGAGATGGACTCTACGTTGAAGTTGCTAGTCCTGAGATGGTGTGTCTACGAGGACTGTATGAGAGCAACCCCCGTGGAGATTCAACTTGGAGTCATATGTCGCCATGTTACCTAATCCAACGGTAACTTTAACAACTTAAATCATTATAAGAAATTTTGTTAACTAAATGTAACTAATTATTTGTTAACGGGTTTTTACCCATATATTTAGTGGCTACATTCATGTACTCCTAGACGCTGATGATGAAATATGGATTCTGAAAACGTTTTGTCTGTCTGACTTAGCCCGTTTGGGTTCTTAAATATATACCTTTTACAAAGGATTTTTAATAAAATTTTTTTAATATATGGTATACAGCCAACTACAGGAACGTAGATTCCTTGTGGATTTTTATTTTTATTTAACAAATTTATGGTCATCGAAATATTACTGGGAGACGCACAACAGAATAACTTTACTTTACTGTGATTTTTATCAATAATTAATATCAATTTTTTCGCTACAATTACAAGAATATTGTCAAAGGTCTAATTCGAACTAACACTAGCATTGTTTTTAATAATTTCAATATTTAAACTGAATTTATTTTTCATTCTCATTAGTTTTGTTTCTCTTTTTACTGGTTACTTATGACTTAAAGCTTTCTTTTAGAATTTATTTGTTGTTTAAGTGTACCCCGTATAGACTCTCTGGGACTATATGGCTACATTATGTTATTTTAAAATAATAAGTTAAATAAACTTTTATTCATTGTTGTTTTGTTGTTTAATGCTGATAATCGGTTTAAAATTAAAACGCCCTAAGTATATTAAAAATGTTATCATAAAAGAGACAAATTGTAATCATTGTTATTAGTTTATATTTAAAACAACAACTTGAGATGGAACTATAAAAGTTTAATTATTGGTACAAATGTAATATAACAATCCTTTCTTTAGTAGTGATAATTAGTTTGCAGATTACACATTTTTTTTTGCTATCACTATGAGAACTTTGGCTATTTTCTGTTTCGGATTACTATTTGCTGCAGTGGTGAGTAAAATAAGAATCTGTATTTTTAATAAATTCTATTTATCTTTTTCCTATTTGGTGAGATAAAAATTCTACTTCTTCTTAAAGTGCCTATCCGTTCCGGATGTTGGCGATCATCACGGCTATCTTTACTTTGTTCACTGCAGCGCGGAACAGTTCAGTGGTAGTCATGTTATACCACTTTCGTAAATTTTAAAGCTAGGAAATGCGTCTTCTTCCCGGTCCTCTTTTACTATTTACCTTCCCTTGGAGAATAAGCTGGAGAAGGCCCTAACCTTCTTGATTTCTCATTACATGTCCTATTTATTCCACCTGTTTAGTTTTGACGGCCATGAGAATTTTTTTTTGAACCTTCACATTAGTAACTCTGTCAACCCAGGATATACGTAAGATGCGCCTATAACACCACATTTCGAAAGCTTTGAGCCGATTCATAGATGCAACAGTCAGTGTCCACGCTTCCATTCCGTAGAGTGTAACTGTGAATATGTAGCAGTTCAATAGACGGCATTTTGTTTTTATTGATATGACTGTTGATAAAAGTTAAAAAGTAAAAAATAAAAGATAAAAATTACAAATCTTTATTTTCCATACCGCCATACAAACTAATTTTAACCACTGAGTTTTATAGTTGCCTTCTTCTTCTTAAGGTGCCTTCTCCATTACTGAAGATTGGCTATAACTACAGCAAATTGCTCTCTATCTTGAGCTGTTCTTAGTATCGAATCGTAGGAACTTGTATTTTTCTCTTCTGTAAATATGTCCTAGATACCTCGTTTTTCTGTTTTTTTACAGTAATTAGGAGTTCTCTCTCAGTATCAATTTTTCTTAGCACCTCATTGTTGGTCACATGATCTCTCCAATAAATCTTTAGCATCCTTCGAAAAACCCACATCTCAAAGGCTTTTATACGCCTCATACTTGTAATTCCGAGAGTGCATGTTTTCACTTCATATAGGTAACTAGTCCTTTCAAATATGTATATTCCCTACATATTTTAAAAAACGTTTTGCTTACTTATTTTATAGAACTACTACTCATCATGGTTCTTGGCTGACTGTACTGTCTCTGTCGTCTTTTGCCGGTTTATCAGAAGGTCTTTGTCGATTATTAAGGTGATGTTAGTGTAATACTTCGCAAGGCTATCTCTCCATCTGATGCGTGGTCGTCCTGTTCTTTCTTATGGGTTAGATTGCCATGCTAATTTAAACCATCGATCATTTGCTTCTTGCTGGATGTGAACTGCTCACCTTAACCTATGCATCTTGGCCCCTCTTACATTTGATAGTTGTTCTTATCTGGTATCTTTGTGTGCCTTCATCAATTATTGTGCCATATGCTTTCCTCTATACTTTCCATTTAAATCACCGTACTTTTTTTGTGGCCTCTGTTATAATCCAGATTGCACATCGATACAATTATATCGATAATATGACAGTTCTTAATTTTTCTATAAATATGTTTTAATGTCAGAATGTCTATTATATTATTTAGATTATATGTATTTGTTACTTGTGCTGATAATGGCTTTAATTTATTATTACCTGTCACTATCGCAGTTATTATTTCTCCCAAATATTAAATCTACTTTCTAAAATTGGAGTCTCCCATTGACACATTTTTCCCCATTCTGTCTCGTCTCGTATTGACTTTTCTTGTGACACACGTGTAGTTCATCTCGTCTACATTAATACTTAATACCATTTTACTATCCTCTTGATTTAATTTTGGAAATTATTCTTTAGTGATATTGTGATTTTTGCAACTATATTAACACTGTTATTTGCAAAGGCTATCAATAACCGTGGATCGACGACGGCCGAGAATATTTTCATCGTAGGAGTGAGATCGTGTCGCCTTGTTTTAAACCGCCTGTTGAATGGAGTTAATACATGTCAAAACCAATTTAATACATGTCAAAACCATCTTTTTACTAGTTCTTAAAATTTACTTAATTTTTTCACTAAAAAAGCAGTTCAAAAAGTAAAATGTATCTATTTTTTATTAAACATACGTTTAACGTATATATAAAAAACGTTTAACGACAACTTACAAAGTACAAAAACTAAAAACTGTTTGTCTGGTACAAAAACTCCTAATACCGCCTATGAAAAAAATTCGGAACTGTCAACTAACATTTTATTCATATGTTATTATTGAACTATATGGTTGAATTATTGCTAATTAATTCCACAAATGGATATTTCAAATATTTTTTGAGTTTATTCTGGTGCAAGTACAACAGTTCATCGAATCGTGACGTATGGTACATGATTGACAAGGAGAGGGGATACCAAATATATTGAGATAAAAAAACATACATAGCGGTATTACCAAAAGGGCATTATATTATATCTTCAGTGTTATTGATCCGATTGGAGCGAGTGATGTGACAAATGAAAGAGGAGGATATATCAAATACAATAAGATAAAAAAATAATCAAGGCAACTACCAAGAGGACACTACACAGTATCTTGATTATTATTAAACATATAGTTACATACAAGATATAGTAGGACACAGTGGGTAAAAATATATTAACTAGATTAATTAACTAGATGACGAAGTTTTTATTTATTGGCTTAAAAAAACCTCCTTGACTGAGCACAAAATAAAAAAACTTATCGAAACAACATACGATATAGCAAAATAAAAGGGGAAGATATAACGAATATATTAATGAAGAAAAAAACAAACCAGGCGACTACCAAAATAGCACTATACAGCAATTAGTAGTATATTCCTAATTAGTAATTTCTGCTACTGTTGAAAACAGATTATTATATTTTGTCTTGTTTTCAAAATGTTCATGAAATATAGTTGGGTAGTCTATAACTGTATGGCTAATTGGGTCATCCTGTTAAAACCATTGCCTGTGCATGTACAGATTGTGTGCGCGGCAAAAATCTTGTAAATATAAAACAAAATGTGTAATATTGTTTTTTTTTAATGCTCTTGGTTAACAGTAACTATATGTTTATTCTTAACTTCTACACAATAGGTACCAATAATATGACGCTTAGTTCCAGCACACCAAATGATAACTGGTTCACCGTGAAGTGGTTTTTCTTCTATAACAGCTGGGAGTTCAAATCCAAGAAACCGACTTATTTGTTTATTGATATATCCGTTTTAGTAAACGTGAGTCCACAATAAACTTTTCTTGTACTTTTGTTTGCAATATTTATTCTTTGTTTAATTTAAATGCGGTAAGAATATTTAACAAAATATTTGCACAGTATGCATATACTGTGCAAATCTGTATGCATATACTGTGCAAAGAATGCGTATACACTGATTTTCAGTGTATACGCATAACGTCAAAGGCTTCGTTTTGGAAACAGTAATATCTAATCTGATAACTCTGGAACAACGGAAAACATAAATTGGGTTGCTTCGAGTGTTGACATTTTCATTACAATCTTAGCAAGAGTGATGCTCATATAACTAAAATCAAAACCGATCGACATCAATATAATTTAAATGTATGCACCTACAACAGAAGGAACAGAAGAAAAGATAGAAGAACTATACGATAGCGTTAATAAGTCGTGAAAAGGTTGAAAAAGCCAGTCCTAATAATTGTAATGGGTGACTTAGTCGCCAAAGTTGGGGCCAGCAAAACATCATCTACAGTTGGACCATTTGGTCTAGAAAACCAGAACGATCGGGGAGATACGTTGAAGATTTTTGCGGAATCAAATAAATTAGTAATACTGAACACCTGGTTTAAGCTGCACGTTAGCATTTACACATGCTAGTAAATAAGAGGTATAGGAACAGCTGTACATCTGTCAAAACATACATGGGGTAAGACATAAATTCTGAACAGGTACCAGTTGTAGGTAATTTCAGTTGTAGGTTACAAATAAGTCGATGAAGAAGTGTGATGTTATAAAACCGAAAGATTCCAACGTTCGACTGTAGGTGAGTGAAAACCTTCATACAAAGGTGCTCAAATACAAAAAATGCAGGAAATATAGAGGAAAGCCTGACCATCATACAAAAAACAGGAAGAGCCGATTGTTCGAACGCTAACCTAAACTTGATTATAATCAAATATTTAATTACAATCACATACAGGAGCTGTAAAAATTATTTAAACGCGCTTATTATTATTATTAATTTGTAAATAGAAACATGAGTTTAACATCAGAAAGAGTTTAATTATAGTTTATTTAAAATAATAAATAATAATAATAATAAAATAATAAAATTGAATAAAATAAATAAGTCAACATAACCTCAAAATGTGAACTATTTGATTTTAATTAAATATTTCATTACAATCAAGTTTTGATTAGCGTTAGAAAAATTGGCCCTAAGAGAAATTAAAAAACAACACCCAACGAAAGATACAGCGAAATGGAAATCGTGGATGACCGATGAAATAGTTGAACTTATGGATCAGAGAAAAAAACCAAGAAAATCTCCAAGAATATAAGAGAATGCATACATGCATGTCAGAAGAAAAATAAAAGTAGCCAAAGAAAAACAAAAAACAAAACAATGTCAAGCCCACCATTGAAGAAAATTCTGGTCTCGAAATCCTATCAGAAGAAATAACGGCAGCCGTCAGACAAATAAAAGATGGAAAGTCACCAGGACTTGATAAAACTCCTGCAGAACTGTTAAAGCTATTAGATGCAGAACAAATAAAAATAATAACTGAAATATTTAATGAAATATACACGGCAGGAAAAGTACCAGTCGAGTGGCTCAAATCGGAGTTCGTACCATTGCCCAAAAAACTAAGAGCAAAAGTTTGTGAAGATTATAGGACCATAATCAGATCAAGCTGTTTTTAAAAGTCATCCACAAAACAATTTACCGGAAATGCGAAGAACAAATTGCGCCTAATCAGTTTAGATTTGTGAACGCTATTGGTACGAGAAAAGCCTTATTTAGCATTATTCAGCATTTATTTATTGTTTTAGAAATGTAGAGATGTCAGCTGTAATGTTTTTGCATGCCTGATTGACTGCAAAAAGGCTTTCGATAGAGTGAAACATAAACAAATGATGGAAGTTCTGAATAGAATAGAGATTTACGGAAAAGACTTAAAAATAAAAGCTAACCTGTTTTGGAATCAATTAGCAGTACTCCGAATAGATGGAGAATATACAGATTAGGTCAAAATCTTAAGGGTAGTAAGACAGAGGTGCATAATTTCACCACTGATATTCAATCGGTACTCGGAGCACATTTTTAAAGAGGCTCTGACAGATATTTATGAATGTTTCTCAATAAATGGAGTCAAGTTCAATAACCTGCGGTATGCAGATAATATAATAGTGTTTTCCAATACCATAGAAGAGCTGCAAATTGTTATAACCAAAATACCGGAAATAAGTAGAACATATGGACTGGATATAAACACCAGCCAAACCAAGCTAACGATCATCAGCAAGGAAAACATATACGAAGCAAATTTTTATATGAACAAAATGACAATTAAATATGTCTTACAATACAACTACTTAAGAACTATAATCAATGAGTCGTGGGACAATACCCAAGAGATTAAATGTCGCATCAAAACAAATTGCATTTTTTGACTGTCAGCTCTGTGTTGACCCTCACCCAAGTCATGACCTCACCCTAGAAACAAAAATAAGGCTCCTTAATGTTACGTCTACTCAGTGATTCTGTACAGAGTAGAAACGTGTACATTGAAAGCGGAAACTCTATCAAAACTTAAAGCTTTTGAGCTATGATTATACAGATGGATCCTGAAAATACCGTAAACAGACAAGGTCACCAATGAAGAAGTGCTGAGGAGGATGAACACAACCGCGGATTTGGTCAACATCGTGAAGGGCAGTAAGCTGCAGTACCTATTATATAGATATTTAATATACAGATAGTTAATTAGAAATCAAGGCAGATACGAGCTACTTTATTACATTTTGCAAGGTAAAATTGAAGGAAAAAGGACCGCGGGATAAGGAAGAATATCCTTGCTAGCCTGAGAATATGGTATACAAAGACCTCAACACAGATATTTCGTAAAAAAAATTTATTTAAAATCCTTTATAAAAGGTATATAATAAAATGCCCAAACGGGCTATCACAAAAATATTGCAAAACGTTTTCGGATTGTTAAATCCATCATCAGTGCAAACGAGGTATACATGCTATGAGCCACCAAAATATATGGGTCAAAACCCTGATATGAATGATATAAATTTACATTTGCTTTACATTATATGTGATTACAAATTATGATGTTTAAGTTACCGTTAGAATTGGTAACATGGCGACGTATGACCCTACATAGGTAAAATGGTCCTGAGACGAAGTGTTTTCGAGGACCTGTTGATAACAACTGATCAAAATTACATTGTTAACATGTTCAGTTTTGATTAGTTGTTATCAACAGCTCCTCGAAGACACTTCGTCTCAGGACCATTTTACCTGTGTAGGGTCATACGTCGCCATGTTACCAATTCCAACGGTAACTTAAACATCATAATTTGTAACCACATATAATGTAAAGCAAATGTAAATTTATATCATTTAAAGGGTTTTGACCCATATATTTTGGTGGCTCATAGCATGTATACCTCGTTTGCACTGATGATGGATTTATGATGATGGATGGATTTTTTTGTGATATATGGTATACAGCCAGCTACAGGAACTTAGTTTCCTAGTGGATTTTTAGATATTTCGTATAGCAACCAACAAAGTTATCACAGCCAGAATAATCGCCAACATTTGGAACGGACAGGTACCCTAAGAAGAACAATTATCTAATCGGGAAAGCGTCCCAGATTGTAGTTGGCAAAAACTGTTTTAAGATGTACCAGTGCTAGTGTTAACAACACAGTACCAGTGTTCTGAAATGTCGCAAGAGCATTGTTAATATGGCAGATAATGACAAACAAGCTCAATTAAATAAACACGTAGTGTGTGCGCAATGTCACAGCCAACCGTTTAAGTGTCGCTACTGTTTAGTTTGACGAATACCGTACTTATAGATAAAATGTGGTTATTGGGTTAACGCTAGAAAAATTCGTACTTTCATTATCTCACAAAAAAATTAAAAGGTAGTGATGGATCAAATTATTATTACCAATAATTTAAATTATGCATTTTTGAAACAAGAAAATTATTTGTTATTGTATTTTCAAAGACCTAAGAAAATATAAATAAATAAAATTTTTTGACAAATTTTAAAATTGCCAGTAACTACAATTACATCGTGATTAAATCGATCGAATAAAATCTATAGTTCGCCTTCCTTAATCACTTTGTAAATATATTAAACAAACAAAAGCAAACGAACGAATCCTCAAAGAAAGATTCCAAACACCAATTTCTTATTCCGTTTTGATTTTAGTTTTTACTGCACTTACATAACATATTAATGGTCTTTATATCTCCATAATGTCTTCAACCCATATGTATTTGACTTTGTAAGTATGTATTAAGCTTATCATTGTTTGTAAATCTCTTACTGATCTTTTACTTTTTTTGTGTTTTTAATTATTAATTCTATTATTGTATTAATACTTTTTTGTATTATTTTGTAGATTTTTCTTAATTTTATTTTATTTTTCTTAATTAATTTTTAAAATTTAAAATAGTTCATTTTTCGTTCTATGGTTAAATTTTTCTATTATATATAAATATTTTGGATCAATTAGTTTCTTTTATTTATATAAAGTGTACTGTAATAAACCTTTGAAGAAACTATTGACTACGATTTTAGGTAAGCGCTATTAACTTTGAGGAAGAATTCCCAAAACACTTTGCCGAGTGTAACTCAAATGATGCCACAAAAGTTGACTACGACGCCGTAGCTAAAGCCAAGAGGGGTGAAAAATTTAATCCAGAACAGTTGTCCAGCTATCTTAACTGTATGTTTACAAAGTTCGGAATTCAGGATAATAATGGAGATTATAATCAGCAAAAAGTAAAAGAGCTTATTAAACATGTTGTCAGTGATCAAGGAAATGTTGACACAATTATTACCAACTGTGCAACCAGACCTGAGGGTTCCTCTGCAAAGGTTGCAGCCTTAAATTTACTTGTGTGTTCCAGAAAATATGATAAACTACGTTTTCCCTCCATAAAAGGGTCATATTAGTTTGTAATTTTGATAAATATTAATAAAAATTTATTAGTAAGTTAATATGCTGTCTTAATTATTTACCTAAAATCTGAAATATCTCCAAAATTATTTACAGCTGCGCTAGAAGATATCTTTAAGTCAATATACTGGGAAAATAAGGAAACCCCTTATAAACGGAAGATACGTGGACCGTCTTAGATACGCAGATGATGTAGTACTAATAGCCGATACGTGGAATGCACTGAATACGATGATTGAGGAGCTACATACAGAATCCCTAAAAAAGGACTGAAAATGAATTTCAGCAAAACTAAAATTCTTAGGTATATAAATGTAAATAGACCATCAGATTGTAACAAACAGTAACCAAATCTATTATACAACGCATTTCTCATGACGTTGAGTTTATCTACCAATATGTTTTGACTAAGTTTAATTATCTTTTCCTTTAGTTCCCCCAAGTTGGTGGCTCGCTCAAACTTGCCTGTAGAATTTCGTTTTTAGCATTCCCAAAAACAGTCTAGGGGAGCTAAGTCTGGTGACTGAGGGGGCTATTTTATTGTACCGTCTGTAATATTGATACGTTCAGCAAAAATTGCCGTTAAATAGTCTCTCAAATGTTTATTCTCCAGAGACCAGTTACATAAAAGGGATGGATTATGTTTCTTGTGAATTGTGAAGAAGGACTCATCGGTAAACAAAATATTTTTTTTTAATTATTTTTGCATGGCATCTCTCTATCATAATTTTTCAAAATTTCATACGTTTAAATTGATTATCAATAAATATTTCTTGAGTTATCTGCACTTTATGACAATTGTAGTGGTTTCTTTTCAAACTATTCCCCACTGTTTAGGCATTTAAATCAACTTCATCGGCAATTTTTTAGCTTGAACACACATCGCTTTAGCCAATACTTCTTCTTAGAGTACCGTCTCCCTACGGAGGTTGGCAATCATAATGGCTATTTTTATTTTAGAACTTGCTGCTCTAAACAAATCAATCGATCTGCATTGGCACCAATCACGTAGATTCTTTAACCATGAGTTCTGCCTTCGGCCAACAGATCTTCTTCCTAGCCAATACACAAACTTGATATTCTATAATTTCTCGTTCTTGAGAAATTCTCTTTTCGCGAGGTAGATCTGATGGACAGCATTTTTAAATCTGCCATTACAGTCAAACTTGATGAATAATGGCCAATACAGTTTTTTCTATAGGTATTGGCCTATTTTCAAAAGCCATAATAAAAAAAATTATATTGTCTTGTACTGAATTACCCCCAAAGTACCCTTTAAATATTTTTACCTGTTCTTCTGTTGTATAAACAGTCGGCATATCAAATTTTTATCTTCACACTTACCGGTTACCTCCAAAAAGAAATACATTGCATAGCGTTCGGCCTGACGGAATACCGATGTTGCCACAATTATCTTGTTTTATTGGAAATTAGGTTACAATTTCGTCAAATGAAAATTCAAATTTGTAAATTTCTCATGGATTCAAGAAATTTTGTACCACTTTTTGTGGCAATTAGTGTTTCATTTTTATTATCATTATCCAGTTTTAAATGGCGATATAACTGATCGTTATTTTTTAAATTAAATCAATGTTTTAATTTAAATATGTAATAAGGCTGGGGCAGATATTGGATCTGATCATCAACCACTCGTAGCAGATATTAAACCAAGGTTAAAACGAATTCAGCGACAAAAACCAAAAACCAATGTACTTAACTTTGACGATATAAACATAACATAAAAAAAGAATTTAACAATAGAATAAAAAAGATCGGAGAACAACTAGAAGATCCAGAAGAACTATAGAGTGAATTTAAAATCCAAGTTAACGAAATCTCCACAACCAATGATTATAGAAAAAACTTAATCAAGAAAAATAAATGGATGACAGACGACATCTTGAAATTAACGGAACAACGTCGACTGATAAAATCTAAAGTACAGAATATAGATACCTGCAGAGTAGAATAAAAAAAGAGATCAAATTAGCCGAAACAAAATGGATGAGAGAAAGGTGCGACGAAATGAAGGATGTAATATCTAAACACGACTTATTTAATGTGCACAAAAAACTGAAAGAAATGAGTAATATATTTAAAAAACGAGTTTCCTCTATACTTGTTGACATTAATAACAAAATTATTGTAAATGAGGACGAAATAGGAAAAGAATGGCAGCTGTATATATCAGAATTCTTTGAAGATGACAGGAATAATATTTCTGAATTCTACCAAAACTGTACTGGCGGCCCAGAAATTATGAAATGCGAAGTAAAACAAGCTATAAATAATGCTAAAATTAGAAAAGCTTGTGGTACAGATGATATACCAACTGAGTTGCTAGAACTAATAGAGAATGATAACATAAAAGTAGTAGTAAGACTTTTTAATTCAATTTTTAACACCGGAGTGATTTCTGCAGATTGCCTCAAATTCATCTTTATCGCAATATCTAAAAAACACAATGCGAGAAAATGCTTAGAATAGCGATTAATTAGCCTAATGAGCCACACTCTTAAAATTTTCATCAGAATACTTCCCAACAGAATTAGACGTAAATGCGAAGAAGATCTTGAAGATACCCAGTTTGGTTTTAGACATGCTATGGGAAACAGGGAGGCACTTTTTGCGCTTAGCATCCTATTACAAAAATGCCGTGACCAAAGAGAAGATGTATTGGCATGTTTCGTGGACTTCGAAAAGGCATTTGATAAAGTACAGCATGTAAAATTAATGCAAATACTGAAAAATATTGGAATAGATAACAAGGATATTTGTGTCATTAAAAATTTTTACTGGAATTAAACTGCTATCGTAAAATTGAAGATAACTACACCGACGAAATCCCCATACAACGAGGAGTCGATAAGGTTGCATTTTGTCGCCAACGTTGTTCAATGTTTTTTTCGGACCAGTTATTTTAAAAGGCACTTGAGAGACAACCATATGGACTAAAAATCAACGGGGACCTACTTAATGTGATTAGATATGCAGGCGATACAGTAATTTTATCAGATGGATGTAATCACTTACAGGATAATTTTAATGTTATCATTTGATATGGTTGTCTTTTAAAAGACAACTTACATGCTAGAATTTTTCTGACAGATATTCTTAAGTTAAAGTTATGTAATCGAATCAACTATCTTACAATGTAGCCATCCCAGGAACGCAGGACTACAAAAATGAGGTAACCGTTTTCGTTGATAAACAGTGGTTTAGTTGTCTCAACCCTTAACCGGAGACACCTCGTCTGTCAGTCGACGCCAAAAAAATAATGGCTAGGTATTAACTGGTAAGACCGCCCACTGGCGTGTTACTTTATCTATTCCTTCTATTGGTCAGTCTTAACAGGTAGTCAAATTTGCGAAAGGAGATTAGTCTATATTGAGAAGTTATAAGAGTTGGTATATGCAGCGTAGTCTGACAGACAACGCGTCTCTGTTTGTGTGTGTGGTTATAGTACTCGTGTATACAAGAATATGGCCGGGCCGTCAAAGAAGCGTGTGCGATTCGGTGATCCAGATTACGTAGAGACTTTAGAGAAATGGTACCAGGAAGATTTCAGTGATACTAGTGATATAGACGACGTCTCCGACGACTATCGTATAGAATCTGAACACGATACAAGTTCAGAGCAAAGTGCTGATGAAGGTAATGAAAATGACGAGACTCTTCAAGAACGTTCATCAGCTTACTTTTATGGCAAGAATCGTTATAGATGGTCTTCTTCAGAAGTTCGTCCATCATCAAAGACCCAAAACCACAATATTGTCATGAAAATTCCCACATTGACCGCCAAATCACGAAATTTGGGTGACACAGCGGATCCTCTTTCTGTTTGGGGTTTATTATTCAGCCAAAATATTTTAGAGCACATTATGGAGTGAACTAATAAAAAACTTAGTACAATGCGTATGAGCTACAAAGCACCGAATAAAATTGATCTCAGGGACGTTGATCTTATTGAATTAAAGGCATTTTTAGGTCTACTGATATATTCAGGGATATTTGATTCAAATCATGAGAATCTGGAGACTATATTCGCTACTGATGGAACCGGCAGAGAAATATTCAGATGCGTGATGAGCATAAAACGAATGTCAATTTTATTATGTGCTCTACGGTTTGATAATCCTGAAGACCGAGAAGATCGAAAGCAGAATGATCCAGCGACTGCAATTTCCTTTGTATTCAATGCATTTATACAAAATAGCCAAAGTGCTTATGGTCTTGGCCAGTCCGCCACCATAGATGAAATGCTTGTGAGTTTTAGAGGACGGTGTCGCTTTAAAATGTACATGCCAAACAAACCGGCCAAGTATGGCATTAAAATACAATGCCTGACAGATGCTAGGAATAGCTATTTGTATAACGCTTACATTTACTGTGGCAGAGATTCGGATGGAAGAGGGCTCACTGCTGAAGAAAAACAACTCTTAAAACCCACTCAAGCAGCATTATGTCTCGCTAAACCACTTTTCAATAGCAATAGAAATATCACGGCCGACAACTGGTATACGTCCATACAGCTAGTGGATATTTTGCTAAAAAATAAATTGACGTATGTTGGCACAATGAAAAAAAATAAGGCCGAAATTCCACCTAATTTTTTACCTGACAAGAAAAAAGAAAAGGGAACTACAATTTATGGATTTAGAGAAGAAAAAACTATAATATCTTATGTTGGAACAAGAGGAAAGGCCACAATACTGGTATCCTCAATGCATGATAGAACTGCCACTGATAATAAAGTAAACAAACCCGAAATCATTGCTTATTATAACGGAAATAAAGGAGGAGTGGATAGTATTGATGAGAAGTGTTCCAAGAGTTCTTCGAGTCGCCGAACTCGTAGGTGGCCAATGGCAATATTTTTTCGTATTCTGGATATCTCCGTCGTAAATTCCTACATTCTACACCAATGTTACAAAAACAACGCACAAATAAAAGAAAAGAGTAAGTTTGCCCTACAATTAGCTAAACAACTAGTGCAACCACATATGGAGAGACGAATGATAAATGTGCATATACCACGAGAAATACGTCAGACCATAAGCCGTATCCTTGGCTCTACAGTAAAATCACCGGCACACCCAAATATCCATATTCTGGAAAAGAGAAAAATATGTCATCTCTGTCCGTCAGCCAAACGTAGAATGACCAAATATTTATGCATTGAGTGTCGCAAACCAACATGCCTTCAGTGTACAAAGCCAATTTGTGACAAGTGCATTGAAGAAAAACAGTAAACTTTGAGGATTGCTAGAGGAGCCCCAGGACATCATATTCAGTGTTGTTTCACATTTTTTGCTTTAGTGATTGTTGTGTTATCTTTTTTATTTTTTCAATTTTTGTTGTTGTTAATATTACGGTTTGTAAAAAAATTTCTTTAAAACTTGTTCAATACTCTTTCTTTTTAGGTTCTGTCAAGATATTACTATTTTTCTTTGTTTATAATTGGATTTAATTTAATTTTTTCATTCTACTTAATCCAAAAGGGTTACGTTTGTCCATATTTATTAAAATATTACAGACTTTTATAGTATTTTATTTATTTTCGCCAACTAAAAAAAGTCGTCTCGTAGACGATGCCTCTCTGTCTACGTAACAAAGCTGACATGTCTCCGGTTAAGGGTTAATATCGCACTAATAATTAAAGATGAAAATAAATACAGATTTACGGAAAACGTGTATGTGTATATGTGTGTATGAAAGAGAGAGAGAGACAGAGCCTAAAAATAAAATCATAGACTGGCACTTATAACGTGGACATTAATTATTATTTGACTCTACGCTGTTTACAGCTCATGGCTGTTTCAATTTCTACCTACAACTTATTGAAAAGGACCAAACATATGTGTAAGCACATTGACATATATAGGTGAAAATATTCCGGACTGAAGTCCCTATGCATGAAAGAGTTTATGATAAAAAAAAGTAAGAGGACTTTGAGAGAGTGAAAGACATTGGTAAATTAACAATCTCTATTAAAAAGGTCTTAGTAAAATGAAAAATAAAATATGAATGTTTAGCATAATGTTTGTCTATTAGTCTAAAACTGCTTATTTTAAAAATTAACTATCTCTAGTGCATAAACTGTTTCATATTAAATATTTGCATATATTACGTAACATGTTTACTCTTCTATTATTAACCTTACATTTATCAAAATAGATAGATAATTTTATGCATTTTTAGAAAATAAGTATACAAAAGTCTTAAATAATGAAAAATATGCCCCAAATGTTAGCTAGATTTCTGTGAAGCACGAACTATGTGGTTTCTTCAATATATTTTGTGTATCTTTTTATTTTTATATTTGCCGGTAAGTTTATTAACATTTTCTAATAAAAAAATATTTGTTTAATAATTTTTATATCTTTAATTCCAAAATGCATAATTTTTTAAATTTATTCCAAAAAAATATTTTTGGTTAGGTATTAGTGCTGTGAATGGGTAAAAAATATTTAAAAAAATCTTTTGCTTTTTTATTATATATTTTTTAAATGTATCAAACATGCTACAACATGCACTTATGATACAAAAAAAGGAAAAATGATCTTAACCCTACAATGCATCATGTAGCATATCTGCTACATATAAAATATTGAAGTTTTCCATTTTCATTAATAGTTAATTGATGGAAGATACCAAAACAATTTTTATTTTTATTCAAACATAGGTTAACTTTGCATTTTTTACAAAAATTAAAGAGCATTAATCTTTTGCAGACGTGTATTTTACATCCTTGCCTGGTATTACTCCAGTTCGGAATATGACCAAAGTTGTCAGTTCTTACATCGTTTGGAGGAATTCCGGTTGAAGATGATTTTTTCTTTTTCTGTTCTAAATTTCGAACAAGTGAAGAAAATGGCTTTCCCCTCTTTTTTAAACCATTCTGCCCAACGTTCCACAGACAATTGGCGATTTCAGCACAAAATTTTTCCATTGATATTGTGGCTGTGTTTCCCATTTGCCTTTCTACCCTTTGATAGAGTAGCCAGGTGTTAATAAAATGCTAAAAAATTCTGCAGTACCATTTTCTGGTTCTTATTGAGATTTTGTAACGTCCTTAAATACTATCTAAAAGATCCACTCCGCCCATATGTTTGTTATATTCTAACACTAAGTTTGGACATGGTACTTCCAGTCTCTTTTTCTTTTTTTTTTATCAAACCGTTTCACTTCTTGAACTTTAGAAGATACCCTGTATGTAGAAAGTAATGTAACTGCTTTAATATCCAGTCATAAAACTGAGACAAACGGAGCATTTCAAAAAGAAGTTATCTATTCTTCGAAAGAACCTCGCGGTTTTTTCTTTAAACAGTATCACTAGAAAATTTGTAGTTTGGCAGACGATTCCTTCTCACTGTTCCTAACGAAAGAATGCAATTTGAGAATAAATATAACATCAGAGGAATTTCTGTATAATAATTATCAAAATAGACAATGTAATTGCAGTGTTTGGGAGTTAACCGACACAAGCGTATAACAACGTTTGCTGAAGCCCCAAGGTCAGGATCATTTGGAAAACAGTACTTCTCAGAATTTTCTTGGCCCGAGTATATTTCAAATTGGTACGCATATCCCGTAACACTAGATAAAACAAATAGATTATAACCCCATTTGTAAGCCTCAAGTGGCATGTATTGTTTTATGTAGTGTCGGGCCTTTGTTGCACACATTTGCTTATCTTCAGATAGACACTTTTCATATGGAACAGTTTGGAATGTTTTGTTCAAAGAGTCAATAACTGACAACAAATTATGCGGACGGTCATGATCCGCGTGATCTTTAGGAAGCATTTTCGTGTTATAATTGAAGTGCAGCATTTCACGAATTTTTTTAAATCGATTGATACACATTGTGTTTTTTATTTTTTCAAATCCATATTGCTCGAACCAGTGCCTTCTGATATTTGACATATTTATTACCGATATATAAATGCAGATACCAATGTACTTCTTTATTTCTCCAGTCGGTATATTCGACGGTTTTGAATTTTTTTTCTTTTTTGATTGATGAAGAGGTCCGATTCTTTAGTGATTTTCTCAAAAAGCTCATCGGTGAAAAAGTATCTGGAAAAAAATCAACAAATTACATACTAAACTGCAAAAGGAATAATTGACTTATTAGGTATTGCCTGAAGAACTGATAGGGCATTGATAAGTCCATTATATTTGTTGGGAAATTTTCATCACGTCTAAATGTTGTACAGTGACCATTTTGTTCAAAAGATGCTTGCTACTAGCAAATAGATTTGAATGCGTCTTTAACCAGTGTAAATATATTTTTTTCTGTACCGTTCGTTTTTCCATTCTCAGGTATTATTTCGTCGATCAGATCTGCCTCATAATTATTTTCAACGTTCGAATTGGTTAGTTCTACACCATCTAATTCATACTCAAAAATAATTGGAGTATTTTTAATGTCTAAATTGTCGTAATCCACAGGATCTTGAAACTTTTAAGCAGCCCATTCTAAGCAATTATCAACGTTCTCACTTAAATTATCTTCTTCAAATTCTTCCAGATCATCGTCACTCTCAAGAAAACGTTCTGCTTTTTTTACCACTTTTTCAACTCCTGGTTTGTCAAAGGTTTTCGAAAATCTCTTTTTTTGTCCATCGCCCTGAGATTAGAAAAAGGCATAAAATGTATGTTGTAGCATATTTGCTACATTATATTAGAATACCCGGTAATTTAGTTTTATGAACTCTAAATACGCACTGATATAACAAATAGTTTGAATACTTACCTAATTTATCAAATCTATCGAGTTTATCTGCCAAAACCACTGCAAAGGTTCAAAAAAACCCAAATTTACTACGTCACACACTCACCCCAACCACCAAAACAACACAGCTGACATTTAGAATTAAAATTGTATACTTGTTCCCCCAATATTGCCAGTAAAGCGAAACCCGATTTAAAGTGTGTATATATTACGTTACACTATGCATTTAGGTGTATCATCAAATATTTAATGAAAATGGAACTCTCCAATATTTTATATGTAGCAGATATGTTACATATTGCATTGTAGGGTTAAAAACGTTTAGGTAGTCCTTTGATTTAAAACCGTTTGAAATGTTTCTTGATTTTAAATCCAGTGAAACTGGTATACTATATCTAATTTACTTACCGTTGCACGTCATTATCTTTGACAGAGATCGAAGTTGCCATAGTTGTAAAAGTATATAAAAATCCTGACTTTATTTTAAATCAAATAGGTCACATAATTATTGCAAAAGTATTACCATCTTTTTACAACAACTATTTAAATTCTTACGTGACATTTTTGAAATAAAACACACTAATTTTGTTCTAAAAAGAACATATATTATTAAAAAGGTAAAAATATAAAACAAGAGGTATTCACTTTAAAATTCAAAATAATAAATTACAAAAAGTGTCAACACCGCAACTGTCAAATAAGTGTTACCAATTTATGCCAAAATACCACCTTCGTTCGATTACAGTTACAGTGTGTTCCGAACAAATGTTCTTTATAAAAGCGCCTTATAATGCATTTATACAAATTAAGTGAAACATATTATTGTGTATTTCTTTAAGGTAACATTAATAGAAATCTTTAAATATTATTTCTACGCGTACATAATAAAATATGTCTAGTGGCTGTAGTGCCAGTGTACTTGGCAAAGTGATTCTACAAAAAGAACACACCTACCGCCTAAATATTTCGTGTTGGTATCATGTGACCTCATGGACTATGACGCACATGAGTACAACGGTAAGTAAATAAGATGAAGAATAATGCCAATTGCCTCACTTATACTCTCAATTAAAAATTATGCAAATAAAATGAAATTGATGAACAGGATTGTTTTGTTGTACACTTTAAAACATATTATTTTTAAATAAGATTGTCACTATTTGAGGTGGATTTCTAGGATCAGTTTATTTTTACTTAGTTTAATTATTAATTGTGTAAATTTAACAGTGTTTATTGAACAAATATTAATAGATATGATTAATTGGTATTAGTGTCATAGATATTATTTATCATCAGTGGCCGCATATATATGATCAACAGAAATTGAACAAAAAGTGCCTATATAAGCAACAACACTTTAACCACATTCTAAAATTTTATAATTACTAGCTGCAACTAAATGTTTTTCAATATTTTCGGTCTTAAAACTATGTCTTCAATTACTTAACACATGTACATGCACTATGTATGTACACGTGTTAAGTAATTGAACATTACTATGTACTACTATGTACATTACTATGTACTACATGTACATGCACATTTTCTAACAATGCACTTTCTTGTACATTGAAAATAAACGTTCTAAATCGACAGATATAATTGAAGCATATTTTGAGAGCGATAATAAATTTGGCTCAATTTGTAATTCCTCGGAAAAATGTTGCATTCAAGAGTTTAGCATTACATAATAAAAATACCTTCATTTTTGACAAAAACAAATTTACTTGTTAAAAATTAACTGATTATCATTTACAGGTGCCGATTTAATTTTGGACTTTAAATTATCTACTAATTTCGGAGCATACTAGTTCGCTCCCAAGGTCAAACAACCCTCTTAATTATATACTACTTCGTTTCGAAAACCATAACCTAGTTCACTCCCGGGGTCAAGCGGATTAAGTATTTATCTATTAAGTTCTAGTAAAATAGGTACTGCGGCTTTTGTATTTTATATTAGAAATTATATCAAATATTGGTAGTTACATAATATATAAATACATTGATAAGCACGCTAATAATCGGCAAAACAACACAAACGATGCAAAAACACATGAAGTTGTTAGATAAAAGAGACAAAACTAGTAGAGATGAGAAATTTAGTGATATAAACCTATACATTAGGGTGTCCCGTCTTTGCATAAAAAAATTTCTTTTTGAGCTACACTATCGCAAGACGTATCCAAATTTGCGTAATTTTCCAGAGATTATAAAAAAAGTAAAATAAATACGATAGCACGTCACCTTCAGGGCTCTACTAGACTTTAAAGTTTTGTAAATTTTACGTTTGTACAGACCTAAATCATATACTTCAAATAATACACAAATTAAATTTAAAAGATATTTTATTATTAAAATTAATGAAAAAGGTTCAAAACAACTTAACAAACAAAATAGATCCTATATTTGATGACAAAAACTTAAAATTTGAACTTATTTTTGTGTCCAAAATTTGGCATTTCTGCCCGAGACTGCAACCTGGTTCTGATAAAGCTATCTCTAGAAGTAGCATCAGTTACGTTCTGCGAGGCTTCTGTAATCAGTTTAACACATCTTTCCACAGATTGTGTGTGGCAGGGAAAGTCAAAA